GGCGCTTCCGCTTAAAAGTTTTAAAAACCAATTTATTATAAGCGCCGACTCTGTTTAAGAATAAGTGATCTATTCAACCCCCCCTTCTAGATCATTGTCGTCGTCTAACATAATTTTCCCGTGACCAAGGTATACTTTGCTGATAATTTATTGATCTTCCTTGCCTCTTATTCATTTGAGGGAAAAATCTCCCTTTCCAAGTACTAATTGATCGACATCATCCAACCTTCACCAGTATCTGTGTTGTTGATGGAATTTACTATGACAACTTTGGTGTTGGGAGTATACAATGTTTCGTGTATCATTTCTTTGTTGTATTTGAACTTCTTTATACTAACAAGAATAGATAGAAGTTCTGCCCGAGAGTTTTGTTCTCTTGGATTATACGTTACTTCAAAGACATAAAAAACTTTTGCCAGCTCTTTCACATTCTACAAATATTTCACCACTTGGGCTTCTTTAAATTAATACTCACAAACAAATGGTTGATTATCAAATGAGAGTCACTTTTTGCCCTTAAGATGGATGCTCCCACTTCTTTCGCTAAAGGCATCCATGTTATGAGGACTTCAGACTCTGCTTGGTCTTTTCTAACTTTGAACTTAAATTATAGTGATTTCTCAATCACCACCTTCTTGGGGCCTTTTAACACCACTTTTGGCCCACTCCCTTTGAAATTCGACACTTCATCCATGGATAAAATCCACACAATGAGAGTATCCTCGTTAACTAGGGAATGATATTCTACCAGAAAATTTGCTAAGACTTGTGACTCGATTCTCCCTTTAAGCATGAAATGAATGTCGTACTCGGATAACTCCACAAATTTACATTTCATTTGCTCTACTATATCAGACTTTTCCAATACCTAATAGATTGAGTTGTTTGTTTTGACTACTACACATTGGAAATACATAACTTTCTCGTTATAGGGGTGGTTTCAATTTTTCGAGATTGAGGAATCTTAAATTTAACCAAAATGGGTTGAGGGTCTTCGGTCTCTACTCACTTGTGGTGTCCATCACCCAATAGCCATTGTTGGATTGTTTTGATGATAGTTTGCAAGGTTTTGTTCTGGCGACACAGTTCTTCCATAACGATATACACTACTATTAGAGCTTCTTGATCAGCGCTAGAGGATTGTGAAATGTAAGTTGCTATCATTGATGAACAACAACGGACGAGCAAAAGGTTTTGTTGAAAAAGTGAGGCCTAGGAAAATCTTACATGCCATATAATGGACGCCAACTGAACTTGCAATAAGTATAATAGCATAAACTATACCAACAATATATCAAACATGATGTCTTAAGTATGTGATTTGTGTAGGTGATCCTTTAGCATAACTCTATAGGTACATGTTTAAAATACTTACGTGTTTAAAATATATCTTTTTGAAAAAAAATGTGATTTTGACTATATTTTAATTAATGACATATATTTATGTTATAGAATATCATAATTAATTTTTAATTTATAAAAATGATTTTTTAAAATATTTTTAATAAAATTAATTTTTAAAAATATAGAAAAAAATAGTTTTTTTAAAGTTAAAATAAACATATCCATAAACTTTTAAATGTGACATAGTGGTAGAAAAAAGAGGAAAGAAAAGACTGTTTTTTAAAAATTAATACTAGTTCATTACTTATAATGGTCTATAATAGATTTAACTAATTTGTGAGCCGCTTTTGATCGAATCTAAAGAATAAAATGAATTTTGGCCAATTTCCTTTTTAAAAATAAACTAGCAAAGGACCCGTGCGTTCGCACGGGTCGCGCAAGTGCAATAATTTATTTAAATATATATATATATATATATATATATATATATATATATATATATATATATATATATATATATATATATATATATATATATATATATATATATATATATATATATATATATATATATATATATATATATATATATATATATATATATATATATATATATATATATATATATATATATATATATATATAGTTGGATCAACGTACACAAATTTATTGTATAAGAGTTTTTTTTTAATGTAATGGATGTTAAATGATCAATAAATGGGTTCAAAAAATTTCCACAAATAACTTTTTCCAGTTTGGGACATAATAAATCAAAAAATTTAATACAAAAATATTTTTACAATTTATTGGTATATTGATATATAATAAACATTCCATTGTTAATGTTATGAATAAACATTCCATTTATCATTGAGATTTTGGGCATAAGAAATAAAAAAATATTTATTTAGTAATGGATGAAATTTTCCAATCTGTTACTAATTTGATGTATAAAAGCGCAAATATTAACCTTCATAATAAATGATTATTTAACCAAAATACATAAACCATGTAAAAGAAATACCAGAACCTCATTTGTTTTAAAATATAGTAATGAATACTCCCAAATGTTGAAATTAATTGCAATTGATACAGTAAGGTTTAATGCAACAAAAGATATTGAAATAAAAGGTTCACAATTTTAGTTAAAATTGTGAGAAATAAGTCCAGCAACAAAAATGATTTAACTTCGTACAATTCTTTGGTCCTTAAAAAACTGGGTTTATACAAAACTTGCCCGCAACCTTTTAGGAAGTGATGATTCATTACCCTGTAAAAAACAATTACATCCATATAAACAAATGTTAAAACATAATGTATATTTTATACAACTCATTCAATAAAATTCTAATAATAAACAACGACATTTGTTGATATAATAAAACTAATGAAAAACTTACGTTCTATAAGTTTTCAAAAACTTCTTTGAACACGACGTTTGTTGTAGAATTCAATGGATGGTTATCCTTGTCATGGATTAATATCTTAAGCCCTTTTTTGCTTTTGACCCTTGATATTGCAACATATAGTTGACCATGACTAAATACACTTCTAGGCAAATACAATCTAACATAATCCAATGACTGACCTTGAGATTTGTTAATTGTCATAGCATAACATATAGTTATGGGAAATTGCCTTCTAGTCATTTTGAATGGCCACGGAGATTGTGTTGGAGTCATATCCATTCTTGGAATATAGATAACCCCTCCAATATTCTTTCCAGATATAATCTTTGCCTCGATAACGTGGTTTGCCAATCTTGTAACTATAAGCCTTGTTCCATTGCAGAGACCTTCAGATTGATCAATGTTTCGAAGCAACATAATAGGGGTCCCAATCTTCAATTTAATCTTGTGGTTAGGTAGACCGGAAGTTGTAAGTGTATTCAAAAATTCAAGGGTCAAAACATCAAAAGCTTCATTTCCTTCACCGTCAAAAGTGTCTACAGAATCTGAACTTAAATATTCCTTTTCTTCACCTTTGGGAAATTTTTTGAAATTTTATTATTATAAATCTATGTTAGTACATATAAATATATGAATGTATCTATAAATATGTTTACAATGGATAACGCATGCCTGGTATGAATCCCAAAACGTATTGATTTATGATGTCAACCGTTTCAATGGTTCCTGCCAATATAGCTCTTGATTGCAAAAATTCTGGATTCTTGTAATTGTTAAGAAAATTCAGATATGTTTCACTAACAATGGCTTCCAGTGGATCATCATAGTTAGAAATTAAGAAATCATTTGAAATAGGAATATCCGTGTAACCATCGTTAGGTTCTTCCAATTTCCCATCGCCAACTTTTAATATCCAATTAGAAAACAATTCTAATTCAGATGCACTTGAAGTATTGCCGGCTTGTTGGAGTCGCATGTTCTTTGTAAGCTTCATCACAACACAATGATCCCAGATGTATGATGAATTTATTGTAGAATGTATTATATCCCAGTCTATCGGTTTTGCATTTGCCTTGAAGTATCTCACCAAAATCTTTAAAGAAATATCCTTTAGGTGGAATATTTTGATGTTCGATTGCCTTCATTGTGGTACCACCGAGAAACACAATTTTTTTTGAATGATCACATACCTTCCACTGAAAATCATTGTTATAGACATTGCCATTGTTTATAATGCAGGTCATATTCTCTTTAATGACCTCTTTCCATTTTAGTAAATGGTCATGACGAATAAGAACCTGAATCCGATCACCCTAACAAAATAAAAATAATCTTCTTTTTATATGTTATACAAAAAAACATTTTGTTGTAATTACTAACTATCATACAAAAATCTATACCTAAAAAAAGAAAAGCAATTTACCAAGGAATGCATAACAATCATCTCCAAATGTTCAATACCCTTATTATTTACAACACTCCAAACATCCATTATTCGAACATCAAGACGCAAAGTTTCTTTTGAGTCATTGATGTCTTTCACAGAATCAACCTTTCTACTCATTTTCACTGGAAAAAAATTCAAAAATTATGTAACTGCAAATTTAGATGACTATAAAATTACAAACCTAATAATTTGGAAAAAAAAGATAAAGAAAAAAATGATAAAAATGTATAAATCTGTTAAAAACGTACCTTTGTTAGAGAGAGAATTGTAGAAGGATTGACAAAATGTTGGAAAGGATCCAACCTTTGATGTTACACATATATAACATTGAATTGATTAGGAGCATTCTTGAAGAAGAAGACGTGAAGACTGTTGTGTTCCCAAAGAAATTTTCGGCGTGCAAGAAATAGGGAAAGACGTTTCTTTAGGTTGTCGAGACAAATTTATTAAATTGCAAAATGGTAGGGTTAGTTAGAGTATTAAAAAGAGTTTAGTACGAAATTACTTATAGAAACATAAAATTAGTTATAATATAAATTATAATTAGGGTAATTAAGTAATTACGGTGCTAATTAACTTTTATATATTAAAAGTAGATAGGTAACTGATTTCATGTTATTATAATTTTGATACAGCAGTTGGTTAATGGTAAGAATTTTCTTCTAGGCAATTATACAGATTAATAACAGTTAATAACAGAATAGCATAGAAATCGTCGATTCTGATTACTATTGTTAATTAAATTAAATGGAAGGGGGAAGATAGGAGGTGGTGGCGACGGCGGCGGCGGTGGTGCGTCAATGGGTTTTGGTGTCAGAAAACTGAGACGTGTAGGCATTGTTTTAGGGATTTCCAACGCTCTCGTTTTCCTCATTGGCGCCCTTCTCATTTCCCAAACCTATCTCCTCTGCGATCTCCGTTCCTTGCTCCCATTCGCCGCCGTTTCTTTTGCCGCCGCTATTAGAATCATAGTCATGTTTCAAACCGCCGTTGCACAACAATCAGCCGCCACTTTCATTCTCGACGACGACTCCTCGTCCACCACGGATCGCCTTCTTTTACGATATCACCAACGAGTATGTTCTCTAATTCTATCCGTTATTTCAATTTACATTCCTCGTTGATTTCATGAAATGTGATACTGTATTACATGATAGGGAAGGTATAGGAACTGGTTATGGTGGAGTTGGTGCACCGTCGCGCTCACTGTGATTCAATTTCTGTGCGCTACTTACCTTGTTTCCAAATCAGCTGTCTATTTCGCCAAAGATACAGCACCAGCTGTTTGTCTTTTAGGTTGGTGAGTTCCTCCATTCATATCTCTCTATCTCTGTATTCGCTTTTGTTTATTAGTACTGAGGTTTTAAATTGCGGTCGCGGATGCAGTTGCAGGAGTTGCAATTGTGATGTTGCATCGCATTGCAGCATGAATGCTTTTGTTTATCAGTACTGAGGTTTTAAATTGCAGTTGTAGATGCAGTTGCAGGTGTTGCAATTGCGGTTGTTGCATCGCATTGCAGCCGTTGCAGCGTGAATGCTTTTGTTTATTAGTACCGAGGTTTTAAATTGCAGTTGCAGGTGTTGCAATTGCGGTTGTTGCATTGCATTGCAGCCGTTGCAGTGTGAATGCTTTTGTTTATTAGTACCGAGGTTTTAAATTGCGGTCGCGGATGCAGTTGCAGGTGTTGCAATTGCGTTGTTGCATCGCATTGCAGCGTGAATGCTTTTGTTTATTAGTACCGAGGTTTTAAATTGCGGCTGCGGATGCAGTTGCAGGTGTTGCAATTGCGGTTGTTGCATCGCGTTGCAGTGTGAATGCTTTTGTTTATTAGTACCGAGGTTTAAAATTGCGGTTGGGAATGTTGTGATTGCGGGTGCTGCGATGTGCAAGCCGTTGCAGTGTGAGTATTGAATGAGAAGATTTTGAAATATACTGTTAAAAAATACTTAATGTTTGGATTTTTAGAAGTAAATTGAGTTTTGGAGTTCTAAATTTTGAGTTTTGAAGGAAATACTTGAATAAACATGGGCAAAATTGACTGATGCGGTTCCTAATGTCAAAAGACGGGTGATTTCAAATCATATTGCGAATGCGGTCCGATGCGATCGCGGAGAGTACTGCATCAGCAATATCGGGCCACAATTGCGGTTGCGGTCTGCAATTTAAAACCATTATCAGTACTATTAATATTATTATTACCTCACTTTCTATTTGTGAATGCAGAATTGGGATGGAATCTTCACTGGAGGAACCACGCGTTACTTTCCATCTTCATGGTCCTTGTTTGTTTGGTTGCTCTAGCTCAGTGCTTTGCAGGATCTGATGTTCTCAGATGGAGATCTTTCTATGAATCCCATCACAATGCTTGGAAATCACATTATAGGGAGGTTTTTGATAACGGTTTACGTGAGACCTTGTGCTGTCTCGGCCGTGTCAAATACTTGACTGCAAAGGAAGAAGATGAAGTCTATTCGGTTGCACGATTGTTAGGTGACCTTGTTGCTTATCGGGCTTCTGGAACTGGCCATATGGAACTCTTGGCAGGTTTGGAAGAGCTTATTTGGGCTATATCATGAATACTTATTTTTATTTCTAGTGTTTCAAATTTAAATACACTAATAAAAACAACTTATGATATGTTCATGAACTGTAAATCTGCATATGGTTCTTGCAGTTAGTGTTGGGTAGCAATCTCAAATAAAGTGCTTATAATATCTTCCTTAAAACAAGCAGCAAAGTTTAATTTGTGGTGCTTTCAGACATGACGAGTATGCTAGACCACTCATTTTATTAGTGATTTGTTGAGTTTTTGTTAATTTAAATCAATGTATTTTTTTTGTCAAGTAGCCTAGTAGTTGGAGTTCACCCTTTAAAGGTGAACAAGTGGGATGTCGCGGGTTTGAACCAGCGTCCCTACAAATCAATGTATTTAATTAACACAATAAATCAACTTAATTTCTAAAAGCAAATATATCACCTTCCTTCCATTAAGTGCTGCTGTTCTTCTATGCTTGGGTTCAGGATCACATGTGGTTGAGTTTATTGAGTTGAAAGATTCTTTAAATGGACGACATTGCATTTTTAGTATCATAATGCCGATATCACCAAATTTTTATCACTATACCACAAATCAGTTTAACTTCACCATCACATTATAACCTTGAAGTTTTTGTCGTCCAGCTTTAGCTTTACTCCAGCACAATCAAAAATCTTCAGAATCCTCTGAAGGATCCATGGATGCACCAGAGACGCGAGTTAAGGAGGCTGCGACTCTTCATAAATTTGCCGAAGCTGCATACACTGTATTTCTATTGAAACCTTAATTTCAAATTCATGTTTTATTTTACCAACATGTTTTTAACATTTATACTGCATTCAATGGTTCAGGGTCCGTTGCTTGATGTTGGACGAAATCCTCTCATGTTTCTTTGTTTATGGCTCTATAGACAAGGGGTTTTGTCTCCTTGGGCACGCAACAGGTGGTGATTTGTTGGATATTCAACTTTATAGATTATGATATATATAACTTAATCCGCAGTAGCTTGAAATCTTCGTTTCAAATTTCATGTTTTTGGGTTTGATACTTGCACTTTGTAACATAGAAATGGTCTTTGGACTCCGAAAATTATATCTAATCAAAATATGTGATGAAGTTGGAGAGATCTTCTGCATTTGTGTGCAAGAAATGGTCTTTGAGCTCTGAAAAATGTATTACTATCAGAATACAGACACGGTTGGAGGGACCTTCTGCATCGGTGTGCTAGTGTTTCTCTAGTTTGATTGTTCCTCCAGATGTTATTTTCCATTCAGTTTCTTTAGAAAGATTCTTTTCCCTATCTCGACAAAATTTACCATATCAAAGTAGTTTTTTTTTATAAGCTTTTTTGAATGACAACTGTTGGTATATATTAGTGTTATGTTGTGGATGGGGATAGAATCCTCAACCTCCTTATCACTTCACTCCTTAATTGTCTCGCACCAACCACCAAACCAACCTTATATCTCCTACCATATCAAATTTTAAATCTGTAGATGACATCGGAATAGTTGTGCCCATGTTAGGCCGTATATATCTTGGCACTTAGGCATAATGATATATATCTTTGTGTTCCTACGCTCACTCTGGCTCTCTATCTCTATTTTTACATTACATTTTTCAAGCTATCTTTCTCCAGCATGTTTTATGTACTTAATTCATAAAACTTGTTTTATGCATGAATTTAAATAATTTCATTTTCAACATGTTTTATGTACTTAATTCATTTTCAACATGTTTTATGTACTTAATTCATTTTCTTAGACGCCCTGCTTTGGAAGGTGATAACTGGTGGCGAGGTCATGCTTCAGCCTTTCTAAAGTATACCAATTTACCTCCGGAAGCACTCAGACATGGGAGAGTAAACCAGGTTAGAGAATTTAAATGTCCAATTGTGCTGCACACAAGGTACTTTGGGTCATTAAAGACAGAAACTTTCCATACAAAATGAAAGAGTAAAATACAGTAGGAAAGGCCTCTACATTTTATGAAGATGAAAAGGGATATAAATACTGGTTAATATATAACATAATGCTGAAAAGCCATTAGCACTAATCACACCATTATTTTTTAATGAGTCTTATCTTCAAAAATGAAACATACCCACAAGAAACAAGAAAGATTTTACTAGGCAACAGTATCAATGTATATGTCCTAAAGGACCTAAACATATCCAACAGACCGCACCATTCTGCATGCTTTTTGCAGATGAGATTCTTACTTTTATAATCAAGAAAGGACATAAATGGAAAGATAGTGAAGTGGAGGCAAACATTGAAGCATATTTTGGGAGTACAAGGAAAACAGAATTAATAGAATGCATGTTTATCAAAAGGAACAAAATTATAGCATAACTTAGAGGTGATGAATTGAAATGAAGAGATCATACTTTATCATGGATCTTAAGTATCTTAGGTCCATCATATATAGAATGATGGGGGAATAGAGAAAGATGTAAAACATAGGATCCGGGTGGGATAAATGAAATGAAGGAACTCCATAGATGTAATATGTGATAAAAAGGTACAACTCAAGCTTAAAGGAAATTTTCATCACAGTTATAAAACCTCCAATGTTGGGCGAGACCGAATTCTGCCCGACCAAAAGCTAACAATTAAGTAAAAATCAATGTTGCAGAGGTGAAAATGATACAATGGACGAGTGATCATGGTCACTTGAAACAAGATACAATCATGAATGAAGTCTCCAAAGGAAAATTTGGGTGATCCATGCAACTGATCCCATATAATGTGAAATGACTGGGCTCCTCTAAAGTGAGCTGTTAGTAAAATGAGAAAGCCAAGGGGTTGTATTGCAGCGCACATGAATTGTTATATATGTATTATCAATATTGATATCACTCACTTGACACTCTAAAGGGAGTTGTTCACTTTAGATATGTGGCTCCAATAGGAAAAGGCTTTGGTTGTTATAATTGCAGGGAAACCCAACGCTATCCAACCCAATATTATTATATACTCAATTTGTGTATGACATTGTGAATATTGCTTTTATCTTTTACTGGCAGAGTCTACAAGTATAAATGTTGTTTTTTTGCTCATATCCATGCCAGGCCAAGTGTGAAGCTGCATATTTTATTGTGGTTCTACATCATCTACAAACTGTATTAATTACTATACGTGGAACTGAAACGCCTGAGGACCTAATAACTGATGGGTTATGCAAGGAATGCACCCTTTCTGCAGATGACTTGTCTGGTTTGATAAAGTAATTTTTATTTTCTCCTGTGTCGATATTTTACATGTTCCAATGCAGTACTTTGTCTCTCGGTGTCAATATTTTAAATCTCTCCTTGCAGCTCCAACTACATTCATCATGAAACACACAAAAATGTGACTTCAACGTTCCCCCACTATGGGCATTCGGGTATAGTTGAGGCTGCACGAGAGGTTTATATGCAAATTGAAGGAAACCCTGGAGAGCATGGTAAGGAATGCTTACGGTTCTTTGATATAAAGAGGTGATCTTGTTAAATGAATTTTTCTCTTCTTTCTTGCTTTCTAACCTAGAGGTGAAAGTTGGAAACCATATCATCCATGTAAGTCACACAATTTAAATATCTTGGGTTCGTAATACAAAAATGATGGAAAAATAGAAGGGGATGTAAATCATTGAATTCAAGTTGGGTGGTTGAAATGAAGGGGAGCCTTAGGGGTTTTATATGATGCAAATGTACCACTTAAGCTGAAGGAAATTTTTTATCAGACATTGGTGAGACCTGCAATGTTGTACGGGACAGAATGTTGGGCAGTTAAGAATAAACACGAGAAAGTAAGTGTAACAGAGATGAGGATGTTGCGTTGGATATGTGGTAAAACTTGACATGATAGGATTGTAAATGAAAATATTAGAGACTGTCGGAGTAGCACCTATAATAGAAAAAAAAGGGTAATGCTAACTTGTGCTCCTAGGGCACAAGTTAAGAAACACACTTATAGATAGTTTTTATTGAAAACATCAATAAAAAATAAATTTTTTAATTTTATTAAAAGCATTGCACAATTTCCAAGATATTATTTCTACATTTAGTTCTTAACTTGTGCCCCTAGGGTACAAGTTAGCATTACCCTAGGAAAAAATAGACTTCGATGGCTTGGGCATGTAGAGAGAAGACCTGAGATTCCTGTGGTAAGGAGAGTAGATCAATTGGAGACAAGTCAATTAATTAGAGGGAGAGGAAAACCTAGAAAGACCATAAGAGAAGTTATTAAGAAAGATCTCGAGGTTAACGATTTGGATAGAACATTATAGCGCAAGTTGATATATGTAGCCGACCCCACTTAATGGGATAAGGACGGGTTGTTGTTGTTTCCTGCGTTCTATTACAAATAGAACAAATACTTTAGTTATTGTGAGGGTTAATAATCACCATTGAATGGTTACATGATTGAGGAAAACATTATACTTTTTATTTATGAATTGCCAAATTGAAATTTTATTGAACTTGTAAACATTTTTTGCTTTCTTACATAGCACATACTTAACACTGGTTTCTTTTTTCGACATGGAAATACAGACACTGAATCCTATGGGCTTCTTTCTAAATTGTTGGGATTTGGCTGTGAGTGCTTTGGGTATAATGTCCGCATAGTTGGCCATTCACTTGGGGGTGCTATAGCTGCATTGCTTGGAATAAAAGTATGCCATTTCTCACTTTTAAAGGCGGCATTTACCTACTATTAGTTTCTTCAGTAAGCCTAATCTTCCATTTTGATTGCATTCAGAACCAAGTATTCATTGAGAGTCTATTCCGAAAAAAACTGGTTTGCAAAAAGAATATCTCATGTTTCCTACTTTCCTTAGTTGTTTATAGTTCTCATTATATGAAAAAAAAAGTATGCGGAAACTATATTGATATTGCTTTTGAAAGATACGCTGGGTCTTGCCACAAACAACATAACACCAATCCTTATATATGCGAATACTAAACTCCTAATCCTAATGAAATTAACAAACAAGTCATGATACATTAAGGAATTCGAAACTTTTCCAAAATCCAAAGAGACAATCTAAGTTAGCTTATTCCAATGACATGTTACTACGTAAAAATAAGCATAATATTGTCTCTGTTTCAACTCATGTATATTTGTCCTGAAAAAAAGTAGGGCGATTTCTTAGTTCTTTGTCTATATATGCATTTCAATTAGCTCTCCTCTTGGATTTAAGGATCTCTAAGTACCCTTCACTTCCCAAGACTTTTGTGTAATAGGTGCAATATTTGTTTGTATTATTATTTGTAAGAATTAGTCAAGTTAGACCAGATTCAGGGGCCGGTTGAAAATTCAAGAACTTTAAATTATTTATCATTATTAGTTTAGTACCGGTCCAGACTGAAAATGAAGAAATGCTGAAAACGTCCATACTTGGGAGGTCATTTTATGTGTAGTATGTTTTACTTGCCATATTATCTTTGTAAATGTGTTTGATTATATTCTTAAATGATTTCCGAGTTTTTCTACAGCTTTATAACCGATACCCCAATCTGCATGTTTACTCGTATGGGCCACTCCCATGTGTGGATTTAGTTGTGGCTAATGCATGTTCGTCATTTATAACAAGGTAATTTTTTATTTGCGAAAAGTTTGATTGTGGTTGATTCACTTTTGGCAAAACTTTCAGCTTCCTTTCGCTCTTAATGATGCAGCATTATATATGGAAATGAGTTTTCATCCCGCCTTTCGATTGGATCCATGATGAGGCTGAGGGCAGCTGCTATCACATTACTAGCACAAGATCCTAAAGCTGACAGTGCCATGATTTTCAGACTTGCTCGTCGGTTTCTATTTATAAGCCAATATGAAAGAAATAATCAAGAGGCAGATCATGAAGTGCTGTGTGACATTGCTGATAAAGGTTGTTCATCTGAATAAGTTAGTAGACATGTTAATCAGTGCATATTGATATTGCTACTTTCATTAGTGATGAAAGTCACGTGTATTATGTCATCATTTATGAAACTAGGTTGGTGCGAGGTTCCTTTTCTGAAAAGATTTTCACTATATGCTGCAGGCAGCAACAATCAAGTGGTTCAAGATGCTTCACTCTGGACTGAGGCTAGTAAAAGGGATCTTCTTGTTACAGCTGACCATGGTGAATATATGCATCCTTTTGGGAATGAATATTGCAAATCATTTTGTTATTCTGATTGTTTGCATGGTGATGGTATATGTTACTTTTTTTGGTTGTGTTACAGGCGATGATGATGACGAACATGATGAGATTTCACTCTGGGCTGATAGTAGGGCAAGTGACCATATCGTTGAAATCAATAATGCCGAATTTACAAATTCTTTTGCTTCAGATGTACATTCAAGAGATGATCCCGTGTCACAGTTTATAGATTCTGTTCCAACTTCCGAAAACCAGTCTGCTGATGATCCCCCAGAGATGTATTTGCCGGGATTTGTAATTCATATTGTCCCAGACAAGAAAAAACCTCAAACTGATCGTAAGAGATTTTGGAGAACGATGGAGAGGGATAGATGTTATAGAGCTTACATAGCAAATAGAGAGAGTTTCAATGATATTATTGTTTCACCATCCATGTTCCTTGATCATCTCCCTTGGAGGTAAGCCAAATTATAACCATTTGTTTCTTCATTCTTAAACCTAAATGATTGATATATTCTTACAGAAATCAATTGAATACTTTCAGATGTCATAAAGCCTTAGAAAAAATACTGAAAGATCAAACTGCCAAAGATCAAATAACAGAATGTCACTTAATCTGATCTACTTAGTCCAACATAATGCGCATTCTGCACGTAATGCTCTTTCTGCACTGAATGTGACACTAACCAACCTGGGATTAAATTTTTTCCTCCGAATTCTTTGTATTCTTATGGGTGAGATCAAGATGTATGGCAAGGAATAAGCCTTTCTTAGTTTTGATCAATTCGCTCTTTTATGAGTAGATAATCATTTAAGTAAATTATGTGTGCCGATGTTCATAGTATACATGTAAATTATATCATGTTCTTTTTATCTTATAAATGTTCCTCATTTTTCTTGAATTGTAAATCATTTTACTCTTCTAGGTTGGACTTCAAAACCCAGTTCTAATAATCAAGTTACTTATACCCTCACATAGACTAGGCATCAGTTTTGGAGTTACTAAGATATAGTGAACTAGGCTTTTCTAACTGTTGTTCCATCCGTTTAAAGAATCTGTCTATATTAAAGCTTCATTTTCATAAGAGACTTTAAAGGCAGAAACAGAAAACAAGGAAACTGATTTTGTGAAGTTCGTAAATATAGTTTTTGTCAAAAATATGATATCTCATTGTGATTCTGTCAATTTTTTGTGATTTTGAACATGCTCTACATGTAATTTCTTTAAGAGAACAATTTGATACACCTCCATGTTTCTGGAAAACTGCTTAGAACTTTGGAAATTCATATCTAGAGGGGAAAATTAGTTTTTTTCTCTAGAAATATTGTATATTTGAATGGTGTAAAAATAAAATGTTTTTTTTAATTTTATTTCTACTTCTGTATTGCTTTTGGGTGAAAAAAGTTCATGCAATTTCATAATTTCTGTAAGACAGATTTGTATCAAAAGTTCAAGCCATACATGATAGCAGGTAGCAGCTGGCACCTGTCAGAGATTCCTAAAACAGGGAGAATGTAATAATAGCCCAAAAAAATGGAATTTTTTTTAAACTAACCAATGTTTTTTTTTAAAAAAAAATCAATTAAAATAACTTTTCAAAATATTTACGAAAGAGACTACAATTCAACGTGCAGTCGTCAAATGATTTGGCTGAACCATGCAATTTAAATGGATTCGTCAAATGATATGACGAATTAGTGCAAAATCCAAAATTATTTAATGGATTCGCCAAATGATATGGCGAATAAGTGCATTTTGTATTTTGTTTTTTTTTCTCGTTAGAGTTTGTATTTTTGTTTTTATTTTTATTTTTATAGGTTTTATTTTTTGTTTTTCTAAATTTTAATTTTATAACATAATTAAAATAATATTTGAAATTTAAATAATCTAAAAAAAATATAAATGAAAGAAATAGTAAAATATATTAATTTATAATATAATATAAATTACAATTGATAAAAAAAAGAAAATTAATGGCCGACTCTATCTAAATGATCACCGGTACCACATTGTGGAGGATGCGCGCGGCGACGAGGTTTACCATGAGGTTGTTGAGGTGTGTCCGGTCTTTGGTGGCTCTTAAACAATACTCTCTAGGGACTGTTGCCATATTGGAGACAATGCCAGCGTATACACCAGACGAGACTTGCGTTGGTGGAAATTGAATTTTTCACAAACTCTTTTGGACGTTTGAACCATGCATCAAAGACTTTGCATATTATAAACTTATAATTCAAGTTGATGGCACATGGTTATACGTGAAATATGAGGGCACGCAACTCATGGCCGTGACACAGGGCGGGAACAAAAATATTTTTCCAATAGCCTTCGCTATAGTTGAAGGGGAGACTGCCGGAGGTTGGAGTTTTTTCTTAAAAAATCTCCGCTTTTACGTTTCTCCCCAACCTAAGTTATGTTTGATCTCTAATAGACACCCATCAATCGAGAGTGCATACAATAACCTTGATAACGGTTTGTAGGATCCTCCCTCGACCCATGCGTATTGCATAAGACATATTGCCCAAAATTTCATGCGGGAAATCAAAGACAAAACACTAAGGAAGAAAGTTGTGAATGCAGGATATGCACTAACAGAGTCCACATTCAAACACTACCGTGACGAGATCAGACAAACAAACACAAATGCATTAAGATGGATTGATAATATTGATAAAGAGAAATGGACACGAGCATACAACAATGGGGTGCGATGGGGCCACATGACAATTAACCTCGTTGAATAAATGAATTCTGCTTTCAAGGAAATCCGAAACCTACCGATAACTGCCTTGGTAAAGGCAACATATTTTAGGCTAGGCGCACTCTTTGATAACAGACGTACGAAGTGAGGTTCAATATTACAATCTGGTCAGCTGTACAGTAATAGTTCAACAACATTCATGAAAGACGAAGCTGCCAAAGCCCACATACATGTGGTCACAATCTTTGACCGTAATAAAAGTTGGTTCAATGTTGCCGAGTCAATTGATCACAACGAAGGAAAACCTAGGGGATGTTACCGGGTTGAACTGGATAGGAGTTGGTGTGACTGTGGGAAGTTTCAGGCATTTCCTATGCCTTGCTCTCATGTTATAGCAGCATGTCCGAAGGCGCGCTAGGACCCAACCAACTTTCTTTCTGCAATTCACCAAGTGATAAGTCTATGCAATGTCTACAGATGTAGCTTTCAGGTGGTGGCAAAGGAGGACTATTGGTCTCAATACAAAGGCGAAATTGTCTGACATAATAATTTGATGCGAAGAAAGAAAAATGGTCGCCCTAACAGCACGCACATTTGAATGGAGATGGATAGCGCAAACAAGATGGTAAGATTATGTAGTTTGTGTCAGCAACCAGGATACAATCATACAAAATGTCCTAATGTAGGATCAAGCACAAGATCATAGTGTCTAATGTAATCGTATCCCTTTAAATCAACCGCAAATTTCATTCCATTTAAAGCATACTTAACCGATTACAATTAGCAAGCAACATAAATTAAACAAACATAACTTAATATCACAATAACATTCCGAAAATAACAACAAACCGACATAAAACAGAACAACACATCAAGGTGTCTACGATATCACAACCATCAATGTTATCTTCTTTGGTGTTAACATCATCACAAGGACACCAACATCATTTTCCACTTTTCTCCATTCACGAGTAACTTCGTTTCTCCCTGACTCCTCGACCAACCTCTCAATTTTCCTAATTTTTTCACCTGCAGCAATATCTCCTTCTAGCCAGCGGTTCAGTTCCCTATGCAAATGCTGCAACGTCTGCGTATTCCACAGTAGCACCTTCATCAGAGGCTTTGTTGCTGAAAAATAAACTAGGACATTTCTTTTCATTAGAGGAAATGTTGGAAACGGTTCCTCCGATGATGACGACGACGATGCAGAACATTGATTTAAAAATGCAGACATTCTATACTCCACTCAAAATTATTAAGACTTTAGTCTTTTGGTATAAATTATTGTGAAAAAATATATGCGTGTGCAGTCGTATTTATAGAAAAATAAAATAGTACGGACGCCATATGATATGCCTTAAATACCCTTACAAAATTTATATATATTTTTCAACAAATACCAAAATTTAACAACGTAGAATTTAAAAATATCAAAATTCAAAGGTGATCTACAATTTGGTATTTATTATGTTTTAAATTATATATTCCTTATATATTTAATATGTTTTAGAATTATATGTTAATTATATGTATTATGTTTTAAAATTTAAATTTATTTATATTTATTATGTTTAAAAATTATATACGAATTATATATTTATTATGTTTTAAAATTTAAATAAATATATCAAATATCAAAAAACTAAAATTATATTTATTCTATAATTTATTTTAAACCAATTTTTATTATTTTATAAAACTAAAATTATAAATAAAATAAAATTAAAAACAACAATTAAAAAGAAAAAGAAAAAAAATACACTAACAATTGATTCGCCAAATAATATGGTGAATCCTTGTAAAATCAAATTCAATTTTTTTTGCCTCGCCAAATAATATGGCGAATCCTTGTAAAATCAAATTTAATTTTTTTTTTTTTTGCCTCTTACGCCATATCATATGGAGAATCTGTTATGACTTGCATGGTTCAGCCATATGATATGTCGCATGTGTGTTGAATCCTGGTCACTTTGGTATTTGTTTTGAAAACTTGTTTTATTTAGTATTTATTTTGTGGTTACTTAAAAAAAAAATTCGGAAAAATGAAACAGACTTATTTTTTATAGAATGATTATTGTATTTATTAAGTGTAAATTTGAGCAAGGTTAAAATTAAAATGCATAATTGTTGAAATAATAATTTCCTTAAAGCCTATATTATGATAATGGGGGGTGGGGGATGGATTCTCACCTTGAAAGCTCTTTATTCGTTTTATTTAGAATTATTACTTGTAAATTATTTGGGTTGCTTTTTTTGCTCATTTCCTATAATTGATTCAAAACCGCTCTTAGCATATTTATATGATAATAAATGATGAAAGTAGCAAGCATATTTGCTGTGGTCCATTCCACTGGGCTATAATTTGTATAGGTGCATATCTAGAGATATGATTCATGGTATATACTATTATTGAAAGCAGCCATTGTCTGTCGTATTCAATTTCACTGTGTGTCTCGTGGAATATTGAGAATGTCATATGAGACAAGTGGCATAATAGAAAATATATACTATTTTTAGATATTGTCTACATCTCTGCATAGATGCTACATAGAGGAGCTTAATTAATACTAACATGTTGTCTAGAGACTTTCCAACTCTAGAAAAGACCAACCAAGCTTGGATTCATGTAATCATCTATTTCAGAGGTACTTCTAGGGCTTTACGGTAGATAATGCTTGTAAAATAAATGAGAGGTTTTCACGGGGATGTCAATTTTATTAGTTAGCGGGGATTCCGCAGCGATTGCGTCATTTGGAGTTTTAAAGATGGAGAATTTTTTCCGCTAAAATAAGAATGGGGAGAAATTTTTTTCTGAGAGCACTTCAGAAACGGGGGTGGAGAATATATTTCCCGTCTCGAGGGACTCTCACCCCACTTATTTATTTTTATACTTTTCAATTATGTCTCATAAATTTATA